GTTCTACATACCACTCAAAAGCGTTCTGATATAGGTATGATGTCAAGCTTGTTTGAATAGAACAACCTGTTTTTTGGTGCTATATAGAATTCTTTTCAACAAGGTTCTACAAAGAACCATATGGAACACATTCTTCATCAATCTGAAGAACGCTTTAGACAAAGAACGCTTCAGTCATGCAAAGGGTTCAATGTGTGTTCATGGTTCTATATAGAACCATTTTCTTTACTAAAGAACCCCTGCAGAGCAAAGAGCAAAGGGTTCTATATAGTACCAACATGTTCTTTGGTTCTTTTGGTTCTTCTATTGTTATGATGTAAAGCTTGTCACAACAGTAGATCCTTTTTAGTGCTATATAGGACCACTTTAAAAAGGTTTCTGTGTAGAACCATGTACAACATGCAACATGCAAAGGGTTCTTTGCGTGTTCATGGTTCTACATAGATCCATTTTCTTTATTAAAGCACACTTGAAGAACCAACTTGTGTATACCAGGTGTGTATAATCCAGGGGTCGGCAACCGAAATGTTAACAAGAGCCATTTTGTCTTTCAACAAAAATCAAACCACCTTGAGAGCCACAGCATTTTATGTCCACTTTACCATCCTGGCTGTAAATATGTCTCAGAATGTGCTGATGTACTAATATAGGCTAACAAATATAATATAAATGTAAACACAGACTTACTTTGCTCTGCTTTAAGCTTTAGCTCAGCTATAGACACTTTTCTCACATCTCCAGCAGGAAACTTTTCCACAAAAGTAGAACAGTTTCTTGTAAAATGTCTCTCAACGTTCGGCTTTTTACGAGGCTGAAGTCACTTCTCATTCGCCAGATTCTTGTTCGAATTTTCCCGTTCCACCTTAAAAGGTGCCTGGGCCGCCAGAATGTAACTGCTGCATCAATTAAGGTGGAACGGGACAATTCGAAGAAGAAACTGGTGAATGAGAATCTGTCTTCAGCTTTGCAACTGTGTAGTGTTTGACAGTTTCTCGTTGCAGATTAAACGTATCAGGAAACCAGCTGAAGTGATTATAAACGCAAATAAGTCAATTTGTCCCCAAATTATCAATGTTTGTCTTAAATCTTTCTCTTTGCTGTTTCGTTAGCCACTAGCTAGGCGTGTACATTTTTTCATAATCATATGGTTCTAGGAAAAACCTTTAACTGTTACAAAACAAGTTCAATTATGTTATGTTAGATTGTGACGGTTCTTTATACTTTAAAGAGGATCTTCCCACTTAGATATACAATTTACAAACTGGTTTCTTAAAGAACCATCCATTGAAATGTTCTTTAGGTTCTTTTCAGTGCACTTTCAGCGATTGGTGCATTTGACATGGTGTATTTTCTTGATTTAAACGTGTAAATGATTTCCTCATTAATAAAATATGTTACGTCAACACATTATTCTCAAATCTAAGTGAACTGAAAGATGTGGAATCAAGTAAATTCATTTAAATGAATGCATCACAGTTTTTAGTGTGGTTCTTTCATAGCACCGCTCCAAAGAACCCATTTTAGCACCTTCATTTTTAAGAGTGAGCCTGCCTGATTCAGCTCCATAATTACCAGATGAGTTAATGAGGCATCCAGCCGTTTGAGGACCCCCTGCCCTGAGGGCTTTAGACCCCTGTTGGTTTGAATAATAAGAAAACTGTAATATGCGTCATTCCCAGAACCATGTCTGAGAGGCTTTATCTCTTAAAGCAAACGAGAAGCAGCAATGAGAGGCAAGATTCTACCAGCTCAGAAACTAATTGGCAAAGTTACAGAGATTAGTGGCCGCTGGTGGAGCAGCATTAGCTTGCATTAGCATTAGTCAGCATTATAACCATCACTGCTGAAAACTGACTTGTATGGTCGAGTGGTTAAACATCACTTCAAATGCAATGCAAACAGCCTCTTCTGGCCCACTCGAGAAACATGAAAGCAGGCTTAAAGCCTCTTGTTAAGGTATTAAAACAGGCTTTGGATTGAATCGTCTAGTAGGGACAACCCAAGGTGACTGGTGTAATCTTGTCCACCACCCAAAAATGTCTAACCAAAATGTCTCATGTGGTCAGAAATTGAGGGCTAATAGAAACTGAGCAATCAACAGATAATCATCAATTATCAACAGATAAACTACAGCCTCTCGCTGTACACCTGCAAGGTGCAGGGAGAGGTTTCTAATAAAGTGGCCAGTATGTAATGTTTAAAAAGCCCAGCAACACTGCTGTGTCTGATTCACTCGTGCCAGCACCAGCCACACTACCATAAGCACCACCATGAACTCTACCATCAACACCACCATGAACTGTACCATGAACACCACCATGAACACCACCATGAACACCACCATGGACACCACCTTGAACTTGACCATGAACTCTACCATGAACACCACCATGAACACCACCATGGACACCACCTTGAACTTGACCATGAACTCTACCATGAACACCACCATGAACACCACCATGAATTCTACCATGAACACGACCATGAACTCTACCATGAACACCACCATGAACTCTACCATGAACACTACCATGAACACCACCATGAATTCTACCATGAACACCATCAGGAACTCTACCAATAATGCATCATGAATACCATGTAGGAACGAAAGCTACACTGAACACTACCTCATACTCTACCCTGAACACTACCATGACAGTGTCACTACTGTACTAAGAAAGATCTACCACCCAAATAATATATGCACAAGTGAATTGACCAGAGGGGGATGATAAATTGTTCAGCATCAGATTACTACAGATTGTAACTGTACACCTATAAAATAAACCTGTAAGGTAGATGAAGCTGATAAAGTGATCTCTGCATCTCTCTATATTAAATATCAATTTATCCCCCAGTACTTCATCACAAAATACCTCTAAAAACACTGAAATGCAACCTGTCAGAAAAAAAATAACCCATAAAGACACTCAAATACAAACTGAAGAATACAAATACACCCCTAAAAAGCTGAAATACAAACTAAGACACTAAAATGCAAAAAAGAGGACACAATATACACCATAATGCATTGAAGTACAAACTATAAGAAAATATACACCTAAAAACACTTAGGAATTATTAGACCCAATATTCCCCCTTTAAAATACTGGAGGATGAGCTATAAAAGACACAATGTACACCTAAAACACTTAAGTTGTAACGATTAGAGTCAAAACTCCCCATTAAAATACTTGAACATGAGGTACAAGACAGAAGATACACCTTAAAGACTTAATTAGGAACTATTTGAGCCAACACTACCCATTAAAATACTGCAGTATGAGCTATAAGACACAATATACACCCAAAACACTTAAGTAGGAAACATTAGACCCAATACTCCCAATTAAAATTCTGAAATATGAGCTTGAAGACACAATACACATCTAAAACACTTAAGTACAAACTAATAGAGCTAATATTCCCTGCTAAAATACTGGAGGGTGAGCTATAAGACAAAATATACACCTAAAAACGCTTAAGTATTAATTATTAGAGCCAGTACTCTCCATTAAAACACAGAAGGTATGAGCTGTAAGACACAATATACACCTAAAACACTTATTTAAAACTATAAGCCCAAATACCCCACACACACACACACACAGTACTGGAGTATGAGCTATAAGACACATTACACAACTAAAAACACTTAAGATGAAACTATTTCAGCCTGTACTGTACATTAAAATACTGGAATATTAGCTATAAGACACAATATACACCGAAAACACTTAAGCAGGAACTATTTGACCCAATACTCCCCATGAAAATACTGGAGCATGATTTACAAGACACAACATACACCTTAAACACTCAAGTAAGAACAATTAGACCCAAAGCTCCTTCATAAGAATACCAGACTATGAGCTAAAAAAAAGACACAACATTTAGGACACAATATACAGTTAAAAACAGTTAAGTATGAACTATTAGAGCCAACACTGTCCATAAAATACTGGAATATGAGCTTGAAGACACAATATACAGTTAAAAACACTTAAGTAGGAACTATCAGAGCCAACGCTGTCCATTAAAATACTGGAATATGAGCTATAAGACACAATATATAGTTAAAAACACTTAAGTAGGAACTATTAGAGCCAACGCTGTCCATTAAAATACTGGAGTATGAGCTAGAAGACACAATATACAGTTAAAAACACTTAAGTAGGAACTATTAGAGCCAACGCTGTCCATTAAAACACTGGAGTATGAGCTAGAAGACACAATATACAGTTAAAAACAGTTAAGTAGGAACTATCAGAGCCAACGCTGTCCATTAAAACACTGGAATATGAGCTATAAGACACAATATACAGTTAAAAACACTTAAGTAGGAACTATCAGAGCCAACGCTGTCCATTAAAACACTGGAGTATGAGCTATAAGACACAATATACAGTTAAAAACACTTAAGTAGGAACTATTAGAGCCAACGCTGTCCATTAAAACACTGGAGTATGAGCTATAAGACACACTGTACAGTTAAAAACACTTAAGTAGGAACTATTAGAGCCAACGCTGTCCATTAAAACACTGGAGTATGAGCTAGAAGACACAATATACAGTTAAAAACACTTAAGTAGGAACTATCAGAGCCAACGCTGTCCATTAAAACACTGGAATATGAGCTATAAGACACAATATACAGTTAAAAACACTTAAGTAGGAACTATCAGAGCCAACGCTGTCCATTAAAACACTGGAGTATGAGCTATAAGACACACTGTACAGTTAAAAACACTTAAGTAGGAACTATTAGAGCCAACGCTGCCCATTAAGACACTGGAGTATGAGCTATAAGACACACTGTACAGTTAAAAACACTTAAGTAGGAACTATTAGAGCCAACGCTGCCCATTAAGACACTGGAGTATGAGCTATAAGACACTGTACACCTATGAACCCGCATAAAGGCGCAGCGCAGCGCACGCTTTAAAAGCGCTGAAATTCAGCGCTCGGTGTTCCGTGTCCATGCATTTACTCACGTGAGCTCGCGTGCAGGAGCAGCAGGTGAGCCGTTATCTTCTTCTGGGGAACAGACCTCTCAGCCCGGCTCGCTGTCCTCTTCTGGAGCGCGGGGCGTGCGCGCGCCTGTGTTTGTGATGATCGTGCCCCCTTCGCTCAGCCTTATGTCCAGCTCTCCCGCTCGCGCGCTCTCTCTCTCTCTCTCGCTCTCGCTCGCTCTCTTTCCGTCTTTTTCTCTCTCTCTGCACTCTGTGCTGACAGCATTGAGGCGCTCGCGCGCCTTTAACACCCCCCCTCCCCTCTGCAGCCACGTGGAGGGCGGGGCAGCGCGAAGGACAGCCCACCCCACCACCAGCGCACACCATCCCTCAGAGCAGAGCACGAAGGCTACGTTCTCGCTGCTGTTACAGGGCTGAAGGCACCGATCCCATCATCTGCGCCCGAATGTGACAGATACGCTCTACATCCTGCACTGTTTACTATGTAGAAGTTAGAGACCACCTTCATTTATTTAGTCTCCAGTCAAAACAGCCATTTAAGTATGAGGTTTTCATTGTTTAGGGTCAGAAAAAAAGCAGAAAACATATATTTAACAGCAAGTTACACAGAAACCTTAACAACTAAAGATGATATTAAACATTTCCGTATTTTCTGTGTCCACTTTACCTTTATTCCAGCTTCCACTCTGTTTAGGAGACTCACGTTCAGTTTCTCAAAGAAACCTGCAGGGATATTTTCCACACCTCCAAAGTTCAGTCTTAGAAGTTGGTTGATCATTTTCTGAAGTAATCAAACCCATTCAGTGGTGTTGAGGTCTGGACTCTGGGGCGGTCAGTCCATTGTGCTGAGAACACCAGCAGCTTCTTTGTTTGATTTTTTCTTTTTTGTACACAGCAACTCAACTACTACTACTACTACTAATAATAATAATAATAACGATAATGTTTATTTATACAGCACCTTTCAGACATTAAAAATGCAGCTCAGATTGCTTCACTACACAAAATAAAAACAACAGAGGAGGAGAGAAAAAGAATATTCAAAAATAAAAATAACAAATAATAAATAGCAGAAAAGAAATATATCAATAATTACAACTAAAAAGCACAGATAAACAGTATAAATAAAAAGGAAAACAATACAATAAAAATGCAACTAACAAGACAATAAAAGTAACAGTAATATTCCAGTAAAAACAAAGGGAAAAAAACTAGTTAAACGCTAAAGAAATATGTTTTTACTGTTTTTTTTAAACAGTGAGTTTACATGCACGCAGTAATTCGATCATAATCAGATTTCTGCAGTTATCTGATTATTCAAATGGTCATGTAAACAGCACACTCTGATTTCTTATATTGGAAGAAGGTCTAGAAATCCGACAAGAAATCTGATAAAGAGGCTGGATTTTAGCTCAGTAATCAGATTTCTCAGTGCATGTAAACTCTTACTCTGATTTCTGTTCTGTTCATGTTTTCAGGTAAAGTGGTGCGATATTTAAAAAAGAAGCCGCTGTATGAAGTTTGAGTTCTACATTACGTTCTACATAACACTGGCTGGTTACAAGGCAGAAATTACTGTCTGACTCATGTAGACCTGGAGTTCCACATTATCTGATTAATCAAGTGCATGTAAACGCATTGATTTAGATTACTGACAAAATCTGATTTTCTGCAGTTATAGGATTATTAAGTGCATGTAAACACACTCATTGACAGAAGAAGCCTGACGGATGTTTATTGGTAACATGGTCCAGACCTTTGGTGCATAAAACAAAACCCTGCCTCTCCACTCTGTTTAAATTTCATACGTGGAACATGGAGAAGCAGCACTGAATGATCTTAAAGCTCAATTGGGAACAAAATCTATCAGCACTCAGAAATGCATGAAGGTACTAAACCATTTAGATCTAAAAACTAGTTAATATTCTCACTGCTGCAATTTGCACAAGTTGTAGTTTATTGGTTCCACTTGTACTAAGTCCTATGAAAAAAGCTGACTTGCTAGGGGAAAGGAAATTGTTGTATTTAGAACCATTTTCATGCTTATATGGTTCTTTGCGTGTTGAAATGGTCCTTCAGATTGATGGTGAATGTGTTGTATATGGTTCTATATAGCACCAACACAGGTTCTTCTATTGTTACAAGCTTGACATCATAACAATAGAAGAACCATTTTTGATTCTTGTCAAAAAGGTTCTATGTAGACAAATATACAACACATTCTCCATTAATCTGAAGTACCATTTCACCATGCAAAGAAACAGTCAAGCATGAAATGGTTCTATATAGAACTTATAGTTGTAAATAGAAGCACTGCCTTTACTAAAGAACCCTAAAGAACCCTAAAGAACCATCCTTCATAAGTTAAATGCTTGAAGCTGTAAACTTAAGCACTTAAGTTGTTGACAGTTGCATTGTACATTTTTTCACTTTTGACTTAAGCATTTCACTAAAGTGATTTTACACAGCTCACTTAAGGCAAAAGGAACACTTAAGAAGATATTTTATGCTGGTGAGCACAGGCCTTTAAAATTTGTAGCTTTGTACTTTGAAATCCTAAGTGAATAAAAGTGAGGAATGAAAGTGTTTAACTTTAATAATTCTAAAGCCAAACGCAAATCCAATATAATACTTAAGTATTGCGATAAAACACAGTTACTCAAGTATTTAAAGCCCATGCTTTTATTCCGATAATAATGGGTATTGTAGGGAGGCAATTTTAAATGTATTCTTAATAAAAAAAATCTCAAATTTGTGATTTGAAGACACAATTTTTGTATATTATTTGTCGATTCTCAAAAGGAATTTCTAGGATTGGACATATCCACATTGTACCCCCTCAGCTCCAGGCCTGTGAGAGTTTGACACCATAAAGCAAATTTAAGACTCTTCAAGTGGTGGTAATATTAATATATTCATTAACACTGTTATTTTCATGGCTAAGTTTTATCCGCTGTTATAAACGGGGTGATAAATCTTCCTCTCGTTGTCTCCTTCTATGCTGGATTCCAACTATGAGCGATTGCTTCGTTTTTCTAAGGAAACAAATGTGCACTTAAATGGTCAAATGTGGATAATAAGTTTGCCGAGTAATACTTTTATGGATATGAGTTCCTTTCTTGTAGTCTTATAGGTGGTTGTTTGCCTTGACTTGCCATGCTTGTTGATGCAAATTAAAAAAAAAAAAATCTTCCAGAGAACTCAACTTCTCCAAACACTGAATTTTAAAATGTTTGAACAGAGTGTGGTAAATGAGGGTGGGGTGATCGGCTCACTCTTTACGTGTACGGGCAGCAGGATGGAGGAGGATAATGTCCCAAACTGCTTTTAATAATCGAGTCTTGCATAATCAGGCTTGTCACGAAAATGCAAAAGAGACACATTGAGTTATAGTCATATGATCCTCCAGTCCGAAGGCTGAAATTGGAAATATTTAAACTTAGAAAGTTCATTTTGAGAACTGTTTTTTTTTACTGCTGGAATTAAAAAAATATTTCAACATGTAAACAGGTAAATTACGGAGCCCTGCTGGTGACGTCCTGTATAAATGAAAATAATGCGTGGCTATGCTGTAGCAACTTAGCAAGGTGTGGGAACGAGAAAATAAAGTCGTGGCCACAACATAGGCTTTTTTGTTTGGCTGTTCACAGTATTGTTTAAATGTGATCTGTATGCGACATCAGTCTGAACAGATCAGCTCCTAAACTGACCAACATGCGCAAAAGAACAGTGCTGCCTCACGTGGCTCATCCAGAGGTAAACAACTATGACTGCCAACGAACGCCAGTCACTCCCAGAAGGTTCGGCTTCATCTTCGCCAGCATCACAGGATTATGAAGCTACTTTGACTGACAGCTGGACTCATCACCCAGAATGTGTTTGAGGTTTCCATAAAAAGGCACGGTCACTTCTTTGGCTCGTGTCCTCGGATTCTTCAAACTTTGCTTTCAGACTTCTAACTGTTCTTTGACGCTGCAGCCTCGTAATTTTTTGCACAGAAACAACAGCCTAAATGTTTGTGAGTCTCAGCAGCACAAAATTATGATGAATGTCGAGTTGGATTGATATAAATTCGCATGAATTCCGATCTGGCTGTTCAGACTGAGTCGCATTGCTGCAGATCGGATTTCAGTACCACATATGAAAACGTCTCAAATCGGGATTAAAAATGTTCGGATTTGGGCCACTTTTACTTGCTGTATGAACAGCCTTAGTAAGACGTGGGAACAAGGTCATGCCTTATTAAGCTGTGGCCAGGGCTTAATTGTCTTATTCCTTCGCCTTACTAAGTCATGGCCACACACTGGGATCTCATTCCCACACCTTACTAAGTTGTGGCCACGACTTAATTATCTCATTCCCATGCTTTACTAAGTCATGGACATGTATTACTATTATTTATGGGATGTCACCAGCAGGGCTGTGTAGCAGATGATTGTTCAACTATGTCAAAACTATCAGTGCATGAACGTTTAACAGTACTTTTAATACACCTTACACTACTACACTCTTAGAAAAGATGGTTCTTTAAGGGTTCTTCATAAAGGCAATGGTTCTATATAGAACCATGAAGACTCAAAGAACTCTTTGCATGCTTTAATCGTTCTTTACATGGTGACATCGTTCTTCAGATCGATGGAAAATGTGTTGTATATGGTTCTTTACAGAACCTTTTTGGAAAGGGTTCTATATAGCACCGAAAAGGGTTCTGCTATCGTTACGAGGTCAAGCTTGTAACAATAGAAGAATTATTTTATCATGCCAACGGTTCTTAGAGTGTTTATGGTTCTATGTAGAACCATTATCTTTGCTAAAAACCTTTTTTTATGTAGAACCGTCTTTTAAAGAGTGTACACTCTGCACTCTGCTGTATTTTCTCCTCCACTGTGTGTCCACTAGCGTAGCATCCAAGCATGCAGGGTATGCACTTGCATATGGGCCCATGTTTTAGGGGGCACATTAATCGCTTCTGTGTTTTATGCTATCAGTGCATAATTCCCTCTGATTCTCAGCAGATGAAGCCACATCTCATTTTACGAGTCCAGTCACTGATGAGTCTGAGAACTCGTCCGCTACATCAGGGTTTTTCAACCACTGGGCAGAGGACCACAAGTGGCCCGCAGAGCAAAGAAAGACAATTGGATTTACAATAAAAAATACGTTTTTTTTTGCTAAAAACATAAATACAAGCCCCACAATAACAGTGCACAAAGGCAGCTTCG